TTTCCCTAGGCATGGGAGCTGCTTACGGCACGGCAAAGAGCGGTGTTGGTGTGGCCTCGATGGGCGTGATGCGGCCGGAGCTGGTGATGAAGTCCATTGTGCCCGTAGTCATGGCTGGTGTCTTGGGTATCTACGGCTTGATTATTGCTGTGATTATTAGTACCGGTATTAACCCTAAGGCCAAGTCCTACTATTTGTTTGATGGCTACGCTCACCTCTCTTCCGGACTCGCTTGTGGTCTCGCCGGCCTTGCTGCTGGTATGGCCATCGGGATCGTTGGCGATGCTGGTGTCAGGTAATTTATCTCTTTCTTGATCCGCAGTAGATTTGTATGATTGAACATTGTAATCCTAAGTTTGATTTGTTGTTCGTTTATTGGCATTCATCTATGAGTTACCAAGTTTTTCCAAGGTATCCTTTTAGGTTTAGCAACTTCAAGTTCTGCATAAAAATAATCATTTTCTGACTACCAGTATCCATGTGAGTCTCTGGATATAATTGTTTTAACACACTGTAACATGGTCCTTGTTATCTCCATGCACGTGGTAATTTCATATATGTTCATCTCCATCTTGAAGGCTTGAATTAGCTTAGTGTATACAATATTTAAATCTGTTGATTAATCTGTCATTGTGTCTACACATTTGATGTGTTGTCTCTAGTGGTAGATCAAACTATGGGTTTATCAGTATTTATTATTTTGTATAACAATGCGTAGTTCCCTAAGATTGGATAAGGGGACGTATCTTTGCCAGTGGAAATGGGCTGGTGTCATGATATATAATTGAGTGAACTTGATGGATATTGCTCTTGCTTTTCCCTAGGAGGACCTTTGTACTCATCTTCTATTGTATAATTTGGGTGCCATGATGTCGTGAGTGTGAAAAATGTATCATAACCAGTGTATAATTTGCTTTTGTCTGACGTTTTGGTCTACTTTTCATTGTGATTTGCTATTGCACTTCCTTATTGTCTTCGTGACAGGGCTAATGCACAACAACCAAAGCTCTTTGTTGGGATGATTCTTATCCTTATTTTTGCTGAAGCCTTGGCTCTCTATGGTCTCATTGTCGGCATCATCCTTTCTTCTCGTGCTGGTCAGTCTAGGGCTGATTAGGAGGGTATGTGTCATTTGTGGATTTCTTGTGTTTCTTGCTATCAAGTAAGAGTCGTATTTATCTCCCTCGTTTGTATTGTAGTGTGGCCATGACAATGTTTTCAGGATTAAGGATATTTTGTTTTGTTTTTCTTTGTGGAAACTTACGTGGCTGAAACTGAGTGTTTCATGTGTATTGTGGTAGATTATAGATGAGAAGTTCCTTTTATACTGAATAAAGTTTCTGAAATTTTTATTAATGGTGTGTCTTTGCAAGAAACTGATTCATTTTGTGTAATAACATTTCTCGTATTATCTTTCGGCAAAAACCCTTCTACTTATTATATTCCAAACTGATTAATCGTGTGGCCACGTCAGGTTCACCAGGGTGGGTGGGGGGTTTTTTGCACTTGTCTCGTTTTCTTCTCGGAAAGTTTACATATTGCATATCTGAAATTCCCAAATTAAGAGACAAGTTGTTAAGTGGAATAAATGTAATTATGAACCTAATACTGATATGTCAAGAATGTCAAACAAACACAGTTGGGATAACACTTGTGCGTAAGTCACAAATCCAAAACAAACAGAAACTTTTAAGAATGTAGACCTCTGATGAGTGAAGATCTATAGGCTCTTCGTGTTGGAATTGGAATTGAGCAGAGTTCTGCATGTGAAGGATCATTGAGCAGAGGCCTGCCTTTGAAGGGTGATAATCTTCGAGAGAAGAGAGTTGAAGAGATTTCTACCTGAATTGGAATCTGTGTGTTGTGTAATTGGAACTAGGGGCAGAACTACTTTTACGCAAGCCTAGCATTTAGACAACCGTACTTTGTACTTTTTCAGTTGATATGCATATTTTCAAATAAAGTGTATACTATAAATAACAACATAAATATAAGCATGACATGACACTTAATAGCATTAGCGTTGATATTCATTGAAAAAAAGTACGGCGGGTTGACCTGCCTAATGATTAGGTTGTCTCACACAAAAAATCTTGTATTATATATATATATAACCGCCTAACGACTAGGCTGTCTCACAAAAAAATCTGGTAAACGCCATGCATGCAAATGTATGTGCTTAGATTCATGTTTTAGAACTTTTCTTTGGGCCTTTGACCTAACTACTTATTGCCGGAATGAGCTCAATACCATTAATAATCATAACATTTCAACCATCCGTCCCACATGTCCAAAACAATGTTTTACGGGGCATTGGAATGGCTCAACCTGGTAAGTCTCACATGCACGAATTCATGTCTCTCGAGGCACTGAGTGTAACTTAATAATTCATGACATTTCAGCCCAATGTGTCTCGCGAGCCCAACAATTTCACGAGGGACCAGAGTTGCCCAGTCTTGTACATCTCACATGCATTAGGCGATATCTCACGTGGCACTACGCGAAACATAATAATTCATGATATTCTAGTCTCGTCAATGTCACATGATCAAAGTAATGTCTCACATGACACTAAAATGGCTCAGCCCTATCCAATTAGATAAGTACAACCCACTTTTTAATATGATTTAGTTAAAAAAAAAAACTTTGCATAATACTAATTATCTTTATTCTATGTTTGTCCCTCCCAAATTCAATCCTCGACACCAATCCTCAAGAGATAAAGTAATTGAACACTTCAATTTCCTTTTTTATTTCTTTAAAACGAACTTAAAAGGGTCGCAGCTTCCCCACCACCATAGGCGAACTTACGTGCAATCACTGTAAATTGAATTTGAGCTCCATTCTTTTTTACATTTTTGTTTAATCCAATAAGAGAAAAATGACGCAGAAGAAGTAGCAAACAGTTTCTTCCCTGCATAATTTTCATGGCACCCATTTCCTGAAGCTCTTGCCCACGCGACGTCCTTGTCCCATTTATAGACTTATGTATTCAAAATTCACTCGCGTTTTCTGTTAACGTATTTGCAAATTTCTGTTAAAATTATCATCGCTTTGTAAAAATATGAAAAATGAGGTGCATATATAGTTTGTGATCTTTTTTATTGGTTTGGCTGAAATAGCAACTTCATCTTTAGTGTCTTCACAGAATATGAGGCTAAAGCTATTTTGGCTCTGAAGGCCCATCTTCTTGGTTTTTCTGACAAACTCACTTGGCCGAGTGACTTGAAAGGGCTCTTTACTGTTAAATCTCTTTATCTCGACTTATCATGAATAAGATTAATCTCTTTGATCATCCAGAAAGCATTAATACTTGTACTCTGAGGAGGGTAATTAGAACTTCTAGCTGAAAACTTAAAATAAAAAACAAACTAAAATATTTTTTGTGAATTGCTATTCAAATATTCTTCCTACCAAGTGCAGCCTTAAAAAACGAGGATTTGAAATGGATACTGTCTGTTGTTGTTTTGGAGAGCATCAAGAGACAATGGAACACATTTTCTTTGAATGTCCAAGAATCAAAATTGTCTGGAAACTAGCACCTGTACACTGTACACTGGAAGGAACTCCAAATAGATCCCTGCTCATTTGAACATGGTGGGGCAATTTATGCATGGCTAATAAGAGCTCAAGTGTGACGAAGAGGATGCAAATAGCCACCCATCGTTTTGAGGTGATCATGAAAAACTCGGAATGTGTGGGTTTTTCAAAAGCAATGGATCCCAAAGTGGGCAAATGTTGATGTTGCAGTCAATGAGTAGAATGAATTCTGCATTGTCTCTTTAGGCCTTTCAGTCTGATTCTCAATTTTCTGTCTTTTAGTAGGAGTGTATTTTTTACCAGTGTCATTGTGTTATTTGTTCGTTGTTGGCTTTTGTGGAGGTGAATTGTAAGTTGTTTATTACCCGTTTTGTTTCTTGGGTACATCTTAGATTG